AAAAAAAAAGCCAAACAAGAGTGGAGGTCACTAATTTGGGAACTCATTGGCACCAGCTGACTGCAAGGAGCCAGAGCTACTAAATAGGAGTGAGCACGAGTAGGGAAGAGGTTAGAGAGAAGTAGTGCTGTTTGGTAATCTGATGTGTGAATTGAAAAGAACATGGACTGAGCTGGAGAAGTCCACCAGTGGGAAGAAGCTGTGTGAAGAGCCTTAGGAGAGTCAGCCTAGGAAAATAATGCTGGACTGGAGAGAGGCATCCCTACTTCCGCCAGGAACCTGGACCAGAACTCAAAGTAAAGAAAGGACTTGGAGTGCTGTGCTGTGCTACTGAGAGACCACACTGAAGAAACAGCTTGGGCTTACCTCAGTACTGCATGCCGGGAAGGAGCTGGCAGCCCTGCTGAGTTCACGTGGTGGTCCCTGGGCTCAAGGACTTGGCACAGAGGTGAGTGAAATCTGGCAACGGGAATCCCTCCCCCTCCCCAAAGGCAGAGGTGAATGTAAGTGTCTGTTAGCGCTTGCTGAAAGGAGAGAAGCTTCTGGGCAGGATTATTTCAAAAGGGGCTGATCATGGTAGTCCAGAGATGTCTGTGTTAGGAACACCTTCCATAACAGCAGGGAGGGGGCAGTGGGGCTGTGCAGAGGCTGTAGGTGAGTGTCGCGTGATACTGATGCAAATCGGGGCTTGCCCGAGCTCTGGTCCCATGCTCAGCTGACTTGTGCTGATCCCACTATTCCCCAGCCAGTCTTGGCCAGGCTTGGCTTTGTAAAGTGGCTGAAACTGAGAACAACAGAGGGAAGGCAGAGACTTCATCTTTTTGCTTGTGAGGATGCTGGATCTGGACAGTGGCCAGTCTGTCTTCCCTGGGATGAGCCTGGGAAGCCCAGAGGCTGCTCTCGTTTATCTGCAAGCTGCTCACAGTGGCGTTTGTGAAGCATTAATGAGACATCCGATTGACCCAAATAGATCGGTGATCGCGGTTTCAGGAATGCTTAGAGTGCTGTAAATCGAGCAGCAGGTCAGCCAGGCTGACGTTTAACCCTATGCTAATTGTCAGGTTCTAAAAACACTCCGGCGTGCTGTAGCGGCAGGTCGGACAGCGGCACGGCTTGTCCTTCGCTCTCCCCGCAAGCTGTCACAGGGGGCAGCGTTACCGGTCGCACCTCTCGCCGGGCAGCGCGGAGCCTCCCCGCAGGGTCGCCGCGGGCACATAGCGGGAGCGCTGCGGCTGCAGCGAGGCGTCGCGGCCGGCGGGAGGAGCTGGCGCGCCGCGGCGGGAGCTCGGGCTCGCCGCGAGCGGGATGGGGGCGGGCCGGTAACCCGCGGAGAGGTCCCGTGCCGGCCCACGAGGGCCGGCCTCAGCCCGAGCGGCGGGGAGCCGCGGTGCGGGCGGGGCCGTTCGGAGCCAGAGTTGCGGCGGGCGGGCCCTCCTCCGCGCGCGCCGTCGCCGCTTTAAGCGTCGCGCCACGCCGCGGGGCGGGGCGGGCCGCGCGGCTCCCCACGTGGTGCGGGCCGGTGCCTGCCGGCCGCGGCGGCGCGGGGCGCACTCGGCGCGGGGCTGCCGCCGGGGCTCCTCCGCTCCGCGCCGCTGCCATGCGCCGCGCCGGGGCCGCCCCGCCGCCGCGTCCCGCAGCGGCAGCGTGAGGCGCGGCACCATGGAGCGGGGCGGCCGCGCCGCGCTGGCGCTGGGGCTGCTGCTGCTGCTGTTGCTGCTGGGCGCGCTGCTGGCGCTGCGGGAGCCGGCGCCGGGGCCGGCCCGGGGCGAGGCGCGGGGCGGCGGCGTGCAGAAAACTTTCCGGGCGCTGCTGGCCGCGGGACGGGAGCAGCAGCGGCAGGAGGAGGGGGAGGAGGACCCGCCGGCGGCCCCGGTGCGGCGCGGCATCTTCTGGAGCCGCGAGCTGGAGGCGCGGGTGCCGCCGGGCTTCGCGGCCGAGGAAGCGGCGGCGTGGCGGGCGGCGGCCCGCGGAGCCCGCGTGGCCTCGCTGGAGCGCGGCGGCTGCGGGCGCAGCTCCAACCGGCTGGCCCGGCTGTCGGACGGGAGCCGCGCCTGCGTCCGCTACGGCGTGAGCCCGGAGCAGATCCAGGGCGAGGCGCTCTCCTACCACCTGGCCGGGCTGCTGGGCATGCAGCAGCGGCTGCCGCCCATGGCGCTGGCGCTGGTGGAGGCTCGCGGGCGGCAGTGGGAGCCGGTACGGGAGGAGCTGCGCGGCTCGCACTGGGCCGAGGGCGCGGTGGTGAGCCTGACGCGCTGGGTGGACAACCTGACGGCCGTGGTGGCCCCCGCGCCGTGGGGCGGCGGGCGGCCGCGGGCGCTGGCGGCGGGCGAGCTGGGCGGGCTGCCCGCGGCGCAGCTGGTGGAGCTGGTGCAGTGGAGCGACCTGATCCTCTTCGACTACCTGACGGCCAACTTCGACCGCCTGGCCAGCAACCTGTTCAGCCTGCAGTGGGACCCGCGCGTCATGCGGCGCGCCACCAGCAACCTGCTGCGCGCCCCCGACGGCGGCCTGGTCTTCATGGACAACGAGGCGGGGCTGGTGCACGGCTACCGCCTGCTCGCCACGTGGGACCCCTACAACGAGCCCCTGCTGCGCTCCGTCTGCGTCTTCCGCGAGGGCACGGCGCGGCGCTTGGCCGAGCTGCACCGCCGCCGCAACGCCGCCGCCGAGCTGCGCCGCCGCTACCGGGCCCGGGAGCCCCTCTGGGCGCGCCTCGGCTTCCTGTCGGAGCGGCAGGCCGAGCTGCTGCAGGCGCGCGTCGACTTCGTGCACCGCCACATCGCCCAGTGCCGCGCTCAGGCCGCCGCGCTCTGACGGCACCCGCCCTCCCCGCGCCTCCGCTCCCCGTTTCCCCGCTCTCTGCCTAGTAGGGCCGCGGAGGTCCCTTCGGCCTCGACTCCTCCGTGGGTGCAGAAGGAGTGCTTTCAACGTGTTCTTCCTCCTGCGGCGAACGAACATTGGCACTTGGACCGAGGACCGGTCGCACGAAGGGGCGCCGCCCGACTTGCGAACTGCCCTCTCTGAAGCTTGGCTCCTACCGATTTCCCTTAAGGGGAGCAGACCTGTCGCTGGCGCTGCGTCCAGCCGCGAGCGGATGCTCCGGTAGCTGTTAGTCTGTGTTGTGGTTTCATCTGGTTCTGCTGTTCTGATCCCCAAGTGTGTGTCTGTAGTTGTCGCCATCCTTTGATTTGACGGTAAAATAACGGGCTGACGGTGACAGAAGAGGACCCCCAAAGCATCACTGTGTGCTGAGACTTGGGCGCAGTAGTTAAAAGTGGAGAAAAAAACTGTTCCATGCACTTTACTTTGACTTTTTAATTTTTTATAAACAAAAAGACCTTTTTATTTTACAAAGTCTGCCTTTTATGTACATTCTCTATGTTCATAAGCTTTTCTGTAACATACTAAAGAAACTGATATTTCAGTAAAGCGTGTTGGTGATTTGCCTCCTTTGTGCTGACTGCCTGAGCTGCGCTGCGTCCCACTGCATCGCATCCACCTGTGTCTTCCTGCCCTGTGCTGTGGCTCAGTCTGAGCCAACCCGCCCCTGCTGGCACCCTGATAAGCCGTCGCTTTTGGAACAGTGCCGTAGGTGATGTGGGCAGAGCTGTGCCAGGTGCTCGGGCTGCATCCCAACCCTGTAACAGGGTCACTTCTCGTGTTGCTGTGCCCTGCAAACCCCTATAGTGCCGCCTGCTTTCGGGTCTTAGCCCTCTTCCCATTCCTGCTGTCTGTGCTGCCAGAGCAGAGGCTGAATTGAATAGAATCATAGAATTATAGAATGGCTTGGGTCGAGAAGGACCACAACGATCATTTAGTTTCAGTCCCTCTGCTGTGGGCAGGATCACCAACCGCTAATAGGAAAACTCTTCCTTTTGTAGAAGTTTTGTTGGTTCAGCAAAGTGACAGTGTATTTAGATAGAACTTGCAAAGTTTCTTTGGCCACGAAAGTGTTTTGTTTTATTTTGTTTATATATATATAATATACATATAAGACGTCGATTTAATGAACAGCTCAGTTAGCTGCAGCTGCGGCAGCCTCCCAGACAGTTCCCAACCCAGTGCCCCACTGGCAGGACTCTATTGAACTCGCTTCCATAGTTCTGCATTTGTCTCTGGGAACAATGCGCAGCTCCCATGTGACGTTCTCCATTTACATGACAATGCTCAGTTTAGCGGCGTAATTCTTAATTCTTCAGTGCTGTTTGTCAGTTTCGCTCCCTAACTCGGAAGCAGCAGCTCTGTCACATTCACCTCGTGAAAACGCATTCAAATAAACAACTGCTGGTGTTGGTTGTGAGCAAACGGTGTGCTTGGGCTTCCAGGGTTTTGGTTCTGTTTGAGTATTTCTATAGCATTGGTATGGTTTGGATAACCAATGGGAAAAATGCTCTTTTGTAGTGTCTTTGGAACCAGACCCTACGTAGTTGCACATCTCAAGTGGAAAGAGTTTTCCATATGACTTTATACACCTCAGCTGTGTGCAGGGTTTGCGATGGGTTGGTGAGGCTGAGCTGTGTGCTGGGGAAGCCACATCCTGCAGGGAGCTGTGCTCATTCAGGGGCTGGGGAAGAAATGTGGGCACTGCGGTGCTACTCTGGTGCAGACTTACTGCTGTGCTGGAGAAAGCCCTCTGTCACCATTGTATTAGGGCCTTCTGTGGGATTTTTTTCACGGCAAGCTGTGCTTTGTACATTCTTGCTCCGGTGCATTCTTTGCGTGCCTCTCCCTCACGACGCGCCATCAGAGCCTGGGCTGCCTCGCAGCAGAACAAAGGGCTGCAGTTCTGTCCGCCTTCCCCTGCGGGAGACCTCACTGCTTCCAGGCTCTGCAGTGCTCCTGTGCTTTCCTTTGGGCGGTGAGGTGGGACGTGGGACAGCCTGGCCACTGCAATCTGAGGCTGACAGCCTAAGACAGGGAGCTGAGAGGCACACGAGGTCAGCTTGAGGCAGGGTGCTCAGCACCTGCTCTATGCAGGGCAGGATGGCTGCTGCTCCCAGGGTGAGGCTGGTGCCAATGGGGAGAGGCCTCTTGGTTTCTGTCCGCACACATCTGATGTAGATGGAAGCTGGACATGTGTCTGCGAGGTGTGCCAGACCGTTGGTGGGCTCAGGGAATAGCTGGAAGGAAGGAAGTGAAAAAAATAGGGCTGGTTGCACTGTGGCTGACTGGTGCTCAGCATGCTCTTGCATTGCTGTGCAGGCTTTGTGGTTTGATTGCCCTTTGAAGTGTGGAGCATTTTTTAATGGTAATAACGCTGAGAATTTTCTCATTGGCATGCTAGGTGGTCTGGAATGAGTTTGGATATGAGCTCACATTAAGGCTGAACCCATTTGCTCATTACTCCCAATTTGCAGCCACAGCACAAACCCTGCCTGGATTCAGCTGCAGATTGTGCCCGTATCCAGGAACCGCTGCCTCCATCCTCAGCAAGTGCCACACATCACCCTGCCCTCTGCCAGACCGCCTTCCTGATCCCCAAAGTTTTCAGTGGCCCTTACTACATTTAAGCTGAGGAGGAGGAGTCATCGTTTCCTTTGTTTCATTATGAGTACACAGGGTTTTCTCATCTTTTGAGTTTCTACCAGTGCGGTGCAAAATCAGTGCCATGCATTATGGATGAGCTTGGATGTAAGGACCTGGAGGATACTGTGATTCTGTGTTAACGGTGTTTCTTCCTTTCATACCAGCTACGCAGTGAGGCAACTGCTCTGTGCAGATAGCCTCAGTTTTGTAGCCACCAGAGATGAAAACCAGGCCTTTGGTGTGCAGAATGAGGGCAGGCTGAGCTCCTCCTGACCCTGTTAAAGCGAATATAATGTTTGCTTCCATCTCATTTTTCAGTCTGCTGCCCGTATAGTGATTCTGCCTGCTTCTCGCCATTTCAGCCATGGTCAGCGTGTGCGCACCAAGAGAAATTCCCTTCAGAAAGCAAAGTGTACACACTGATGGTTCTAACAATTATTCTGCCTGATAGGGATTACTCACAAAGCTCATTAACATTTCAGATCTCGGTTTGTGTGATAGCTAGAAAACACAGGTGTGCCAGATGGAGCTTTTGATGCGTTAGAAATGAGAGGATTCTGACTTGTAACGTTTCTGATGCACTTACATCTTCTGGAAATTGTTGGGAAAGGGTTAATACTGAGGAAGCATTCTCAGCATCTCTGTATCACTGCCTGGGAGCTGGGATGTAGCACAGGTGGGTAGCACAGTATTTGTGCAGAGGCTGTGCTGGTGGCTCTTGTGTCACAGGGAAGCAGGGATAGGGAAGCATGGCCAAGCTGTGGTGGTTCCTGTGTTGGGTCATGGTTGTCATGTCAGACTGGACAAGAAAGGGAGGGGTTTATGCTTTTGTGTCATTATTTGCTTGTGCAAATAACACCTTAGGAACACAGCAGAAAACAATCAGGCCACTTGCTGCTGTTAACTACTCAATTTAATTAATGTTCAACCCAGTTTCAGAACAATGGGGTTGGAAGAAAAAAGAGACTACACACACCTTTGTATCAAACTCAAAGCAGTCACAGATGTCACCCAATGTTGGAAACCCTTCCAGTGCCCAGGAGGATGTGATGCTGATTGGAACTTAATTTTCTGGCTTTCTGCCAGAGGAAGGTTGGAGATGGCTGTGGAGTCTGTAGTAAGCTGCTGACAGTGCCAGCTGAAATGAGCCCGGCATGGCTGGGCTCCTCGCAAAGCCTCCTGTTTTGCTCTGACAGCACTTTCCTGAAGCGCATTGCATGAAGTATGCCATGTGCCAGGTTTCCACCTGGAGGCAAAGCCTGCTCCCTGCCTCCCCCTCCTTGCTCAGAACCTGAACTCTTCTCACGACGAGTATTTAATTTCCCTTTGTTCAGGATAAAACGATATGCAAAGTGTGCGTTGCCATGGATGCGAGATGAGCGCCCGACAATCCTCCCTTACCCAGGTAGATCCCAGCCGGGGGATTTAGTGTCCACTGGCACCACTGCTGGGGTGGGGGGAACAGCGAGCTCACAAACAGGAGGGAGAGCGAATTTTTGCATGATCTGATAGTGACTGGACAAAGGGAAATGATTTCAAGCTAAAAGGGGAGATTTTTCACTCAGAGGGCAGCGAGGCACTGGCACATGCTGCCATTAAAGGCCAGGTTGGATGGGGCCCTAGGCAGCCTGATAGGTGAGGGGCAGCCCTGCCCACGGCAGGGGGTTGGGACTGGGTGGGCTTTGAAGTTCCTTCCAACCCAAGCAGTTGTGTGATCTTGTGTGTCTGTGATTCATTCTGTGCTTCTAGGAAGCTGAGGCTCAATGGCCAGGAAGTATGTGTCAAAATAGGCTCGTGGCATTCCCCTAGCTTAATTTCAACTCTGTTTTTTTCCATGCCCATTGTACTTGACACGATGGCATACCCTTTCCTTTCAGCAACAGCATACTTATATCAGAGCATCAATTCGTCGTTGTAATTACATTAGGCTGTGGCCTCCACAGACCTGAGCGAAAATCATTTCATTGAATGTTGTCCAAAGGGCGCAGCCTCGCCTCTGCAGGCTTATGCTGATGCCAGGAGGAGAGCACAGACCTCTGTCCCGCTCAGGCCACCAGCTCCGTGCCCTTCTGGTCCAGTTTTCCTTTTGGGGCATCCCGCTCCGTGTCCCTGCACCCGCTGTGTCCCTCGCTGTGGTGCAGGAGCCCCGCTGTGCTCCGGCACTGCCATCCTTTGTTGCCCTGAGAGCCGCCGCAGCAGAGCCGCCTCCTTTCTTAACAGCTGGAATGGGCATTAAATAAAGCTATTGTATTTGATCAGCGGCTTAGGAAACAATAATTTAGCATAATAGGGAAAGATCGTTAATGTTCAATGAACCTAACGCTCTGCTCCAGTTTTTTGCTGCCCTAGAGAGATGGAGTAAACTCTTTTTCC